ACTGAGTCAGACACTGAGCCGTTTTCAGGTCACGTGCGCCGGAACCTTTGCAACGATGTGACTGTGTCCTTGGGTGTGGATGGGGCGATGTCTTCGGATGGTCAGGACGGTGGGGATGAAGCCTGTCCTCCCAGTTGGATTAAATTATAATAATTGCTCATGATCCAGGACAGTAACCAAATTCTGATTAGAGTAACTGGCATGGACTGGATCACCAGGCGCAATGTTTTTTTTGGATCTCAGAGGTGTTCTTTGTTGGCCCGCAATGGGAGAAACCAGGAAGATAGACGTAAAGGATTTCCATTGGAAAGCGCCCATCGATTTGTGATTTCAGTCACTTAGCCGTTTTTTGAGCAGTGTTGAATCTCAGCATATCTCTACATGGCAGTGTTGAATCAACCTCAAAGATCTAAAAAAAAACTTCATGTGATTAGCATTCGATAGCCATGCATGTCTATGTCGAAGTTCGGATGACGAGTTTGGACCACCAAGATAGTGACACATCTGTAGTGCAGGCGATGGGGCAAATTTGCAGATCCAAACGTACGGGTGTGTATTGGTGTATTGAGCATATACGAATAATCATCGACAATCATGTATAATCACAAACACGCACACGATATATATATATATATACATACATATACATATAGATAGATAGATAGATAGATAGATAGATATAGATAAAGATAGTTAAGGTTTTAAAAGTTATATAGATAGAAATGATAGAAACATATTTTTTAAACATACTGTAGAATGCTTAAAACAGGTCTGACTTCTCTTGGCCCATCCAGATAGGCTCACGAAAAAAATGTTGCCGCTGAGACCTGGTGATTGAGGGTAAAGCCTTACTGTAAACCCTCTGGTGATTTAATATAGCTATGGAAAATCACCATGTTTAATGGGTAAATCATGGTAAATCCTGTATAAATGGTCCATTTCCATCCATTTCCCTCACAAATTACCAGAGGGTAATAGTAGTGTAAAAGAAATTCTGTTGGGTGAATGGTTTGTGCCCCAGCCATTTTCGGTATGGTTTACCGATGCCATGGCTTCGTGGCAGCTGCTAGGGCTGGCAGCGCTGGGCCAAGGGATCCAAGGGCAAGCCTCGCCACTGCCTGAAAGATGTGAAGCTTTTGGCGGCAACTTGTCCAAAATGGGATGAAGGGGAAAGTTGAACAGGAATCCTCAGGTATTTGCTGGATTTTGTTGGTACCATTTTCCCAACTAGCTGGCTGCTTGACCCTGCCATGAGTTGTGGGGTTCAAAGAATGTGCCTTAAACATATTCAATGTGTTCGATGATCAGGGTCTCTATTGGTTGGAGGGATGGGAAAGAATAATTCCGGAAATTTACAGCAGGAAATTTACAGGCCCCATCCACATATTTGAATATTTTGAATGGTCAAAACATGGCACAATGACATTTTAAAAAATGATTTCCTGCACATGTTTACCCCTCAATCCTCAAGGTGACTTCTATAGGCAGAGCCTGGCAGATTTTGTGCCCTTCCTCGACTTGTCCGTTTGGGATGCCCAACGGGCCAAGAATCATTGCAGAGTTCAGGGCGAGGCTTGCTTTGTGGTGCAGATTCAGGATGGCCAAATCTACATTCTGGATGAAAAAACGGGATTCCAGAGCCGTGACTTGCTACCATTTTGAACCTTCTCTTTTGTTGGGAAAAACAGGGAAGAAAAACACCCAACATGTGGCCCCGCATGATGGTCATCTCCGCCCTTGGCCCGAGGTAACCGACTGACCATGCAGATGTTGCAGCGCGTGGCGGCCAAGTTTGGACCTTTGCCCGACGCGGAGTTCGTGGTGGATACATCCGATGGCTACTCCCATGTGGAGGGACCCATCTTCGTGATCGCCAAGTTTCCCTCGTGACCCTGGTGAGACTTTTGGAATCTTTTGGAGGTCATGAGACCACCAATTTTCGCCCTGCAACCGTTGGGAAACCTCCAATTTTTCCGGTCTTCAGTTTTTTTTAAAGGAAGGCACCAAGAGTAATGAGGAGCCGCGGGGTTTCATGTTGAACAAACCCTGCATAATCAGGCAGAGGTTGGATTTGAGACCACCTCTATAAAATAGGTAGTGCCTCAAGTCACACTAATTAGGCCCAATATTGTCCAATACATGGGTCAGCCAGCTCTAGCTTTGGGCCATCCGGCCATCCCTACATATTCCAGACTTCTTAGAGCTACATATTGTATATAGATTCACGTTTGCATTTTCTGCAACCTGAATGATTAGAGATGATTTTCCTCAGGATTTGTCTAAGTTTATTTTCAGCATCTACTCCAATCTATGAATTATGAATCATACATCCCATTTTTCCCATCATGTCTCCCCTGTGAAAAATCGAGGTCCCCCGGTGGCATTTTGTATCCCGACTTCTCTTCCTATGCCTGGCCGGAGTCCGAGTGCCCCTCAGAAGCCGTGGGGTCCCACGTCTGGGCCCGGGCCGCGGCAAGGATTTCGAGCCGGGCCTCAGGGTGGCAGGAGAAGTCCGAGCAGCTCTTCTGGAGAGGTGCGGCAACGTCCTCCTACCGGAAACAGGTGGACCAGGGCGGATTTGGGGCCTTGATTTGCCAGCAAATATCCATAGATTTTTATCACCGTTTCAGTAAACTCCAAAACGATATCATGGGGTGTTGATGGGCTCATAATGGTGATTATGATTGATTATGGGAATAGAATGGTGATTATATGTGATGACAATACTCTTATTCTGGTGAAATGATATGAAATTACCCAAACCTCACTGCGACGTCACTGCAATGATGCTCAGGGGAAGATGAAGAATCCCCCAGACGAACTCTTCAGGTTGGTGATTGGTGAATGATTGTAGTTTATCCAGGGGATGAACGTCGCTAATCACTGCAGGTGAGAAATAATGAGAATACTGTCCAGTTGAGAGTGGTTGAGGGTGGACCTACCGAATTTATGCTAAGTGCTTCAACAGGGGAATGATCGACATGCAATGAGGGAACTCCTATATCAACCAACGAACTGAGTGAGGGAGCTGACAAGGTGAAATGGGTATGTAAATTATGTAATCCATGTTGATTGAAGATTTACCTGCATGGGGGTGGGTGATTTAGGGGAATATGGAGTGCGTGGCGTGATTTGTGAGTGGGAAACCATCAAACATGGGCGCAGACTTAGACCATGTCTGGAATTTATTGGCTTTTTGAAATCATATAGTAGTCATATATCATTCTTCAATATTTAAACAGATGGGCTTGTTTGAAATAGGCTGGCCCAAAATCCAACGGTTTATCATGAGTTTCCTTATTAAATGGTTATATTAGTCATATTAATCTATCTATCTATCTATCTATCTATCTACCTATCTATCTATCTATTCCTATCTATTCCTATCTATTCCTATCTATTCCTATCTATTCCTATCTATTCCTATCTATTCCTATCTATTCCTATCTATTCCTATCTATTCCTATCTATTGCTATCTATTCCTATCTATTCCTATCTATTCCTATCTATTCCTATCTATTCCTATCTATTCCTATCTATTCCTATCTATTCCTATCTATTCCTATCTATTGCTATCTATTCCTATCTATTCCTATCTATTCCTATCTATTCCTATCTATTCCTATCTATTCCTATCTCTCTATCCTCTCTATCTTATCCTCTCTCTCTCTCTCTGTGTCTCTTTCCATGTATATATATATATATATTGGTCATACTGCATTTCCAGACACACTAAATCCTAGACCCCAAAATAAATCCCATGTGGGTGTTTTCGGGGGGGGGGGTGTCATTTTGAGGGCGAAGGGATTGGCCAAACATAAACATGTCCATCCCACATTAATCAACTGTGTTGACGAGGGGTGTCCTCCCCAAAATAGTGAGAACTTTCATGAACTTAGTATGAAATAATATTGGTACCCACCATTACCCACCTATTCATAAACTTGTGGTTTAAAAAAATCCAGGGTCAACATTATCATCCCATCACATGCCCCTACCACACATGTGTAAATTCCCCTATTAAATTATTAAACCATGGTGGTTTCTGGAAGTATATACAGATCATGTTGCTCAGGTGGTACCAGACATTGCTGCTTTGCCATTTGCCAACGTCTCGGTAATGACCTGGGTGGTGGGAAGCGCAGGGCAAAGGCAAGTAGTGAGTTCAGGAGACAACAGCTGCGTGCCCATTGATGAGTGGCTGGTAGTTTCATATGGTTTTGCCCAACATTCTTTTTCGAATAATTCATGCAATTTGCTAACTGATTTTCCATCCCAACAAATAGGATGGTGGTATTAATTGATGGTCCACCCCAACAAATAGGCTGATTATATAATTATAATTATTTCAAACGGCTTGAATTTTACTTTCATTTTTTTGATTCTGGTGGCTCAGCCACCAGGTGGTGCCAACACAAGTACTTAGCCAACTTGCCCGGACACACCATGGCTTTGGCCCTGAAGTATCGGCTTCTCTGTGGTTCGGTGGTCGTCAGCAGCCCTTTGATGTACCATGAATGGTACTACAGTTCCTGGCTGGTGGTTTTAGGTTTTACATGGTTTTACATGGTTTTACATGGTTTTGCTGGCTGTTCAGCATATATTCTTTATTTTCCATGTGGCTGGGATGATCCCCAAATATCCCATTTTTTGTCGGCTGTCTTTCAGCACCAGGTCAGCTGAAGGACCAAGAGCACTTCGTTTCGGTGGATTTCACCTGGTCCTCTGCAGCAGATGTCTTGGCAGCACTTCGGGGCAACCCAGGGTTGGCGGAAGGCATCGGAGCAAGAGCGCGGGAGTGGGCAGAAAGTCACTTGACGGAGGCCCTGGAGGGCTTGACTAAAGGCCGGGGTTACCATATTTGACCCCTTCATAATAATGATGCCGTAAATCCTACCATAAATATCAGTATGAATATCCGAAAAAAAATGGATTTTTGCATGGCTTGGGTCGCAGGATGGCTTTGACTGCTACTGGCTGCAGCTGATTCGCCTGGCACAGCAACATTTTCCAGCACCCCAGCTGAGCTCGGCGTCGCTGCCCATCGAGGCAGTTGCACTGGGCCACGGTCACCATGCCTTGGAGGGTCCCTTGGAGGTGCCTCAGCGGCAACGGATGGATGTGATCACAGTGATTCCTGCGCGCGCGAAGGATGTGGAGCTGATGGACTATGCCAGAAGCACGTGGTTAGGACGGGGTCTCTAATCATGATATGTTGTGTTTCTTTTTTCCCTTGTTTGGTGGGTTCCCAACTTTGGAACATCAATGCGCAAAAAGGAGACTTACTGTGACCTTTGGATTCATGGGGGGAAATTATGAACCCCTTCAGGAGTCCAGCTTCCAGGTTTTACTCATCGCCATTTCTTCATCATGGCGGCTGCGGACCCAGACATTGGAATGCTGGGGCACGAGGAAGATCTACTGCTGGTGGATTGCCCCCATGGGTACCGACAGCTGATGCAAAAGATGGTCATGGCCTATCGTCTTTTGCTGGATCGCTTTGAAGTGAAATTCTTCATCCGTGCGGATGTGGACTCAGTGTTGCTTGCTGGTGCTTTCATATGGGAGCCGTCCGTAAAAGCAGGTCACAAATTTATGAATTGATGCGTTTACTTTGCTTTGCGCGATTGCTAAAACCTGCATCGCGATAGGCTGAGCGATTGGTTGGCGATTGGTTATACGGCTACCACCCTATTACTACTACTACTACTACTTCTACTACTACTACTACTCTACGACTACTACGACTACTACGACTACTACGACGACTACTACTACGACTACTACGACTACTACGACGACTACTACTACTACTACTACTACTACTTTCGAGACCAGAACCATGCCAATAATTGACATGGCCGCGCGGATTCCGCGCGCGCGGAATCCGCGCGCGCGGAATCCGCGCAGATGTTTTCAGGTCAGAAGGACATTCAAGCTAGCTCCAATTGAAAACAGGTCAGAAACAGGTCAGAAACAGGTCAAAAACACCAAAAAGGCAGCACTTGCCTAGCATCCCATCCATCCATCCATCCATCCATCCATCCATCCATCCACCTCAGCTCTTATCATTGCTACTTCTACTATTACTATTACTACTATTACTACTTCTACTCCTCCTCCTCCTACTACTACTACTACTAATACTACTACTACTACTACTAGTAGTAGCACTAGTACTAGTATTTGGGGCACTAGTAATGATATTACTTTGATGATCACTAAAATTGCTCCTAGTTTGACTGCCCGTGCTGATTTTTTTGAAGTTGAAGAAGACTCCGGGAAAGGTCAGAAACAGGTCAGAAACAGGTCAGAAACACCAAAAAGGCAGCACTTGCCTAGCATCATCCATCCATCCATCCATCCATCCATCCATCCATCCATCCATCCATCCATCCACCTCAGCTCTTATCATTGCTACTTCTACTATTACTATTACTACTATTAACTACTATTACTACTATTACTATTATTACTACTATTACTACTATTACTACTATTACTACTATTACTACTATTACTACTATTACTACTATTACTACTTCTACTACTACTACTACTACTACTACTACTACTCGTACTACTTTTACTACTAGTACTGCTAGTACTACTACTACTACTACTACTACGACTACTACTACTACTACTACTACTACTACGAGTACGAGTACGAGTACGAGTACGAGTACGACGACGACGACGACGACTACTACTACTTTCGAGACCAGAACCATGCCAATAATTGACATGGCCGCGCGGATTCCGCGCGCGCGGAATCCGCGCAGATGTTTTCAGGTCAGAAGGACATTCAAGCTAGCTCCAATTGAAAACAGGTCAGAAACAGGTCAGAAACCAGTCAGAAACCGGCCAAACGCAACCTCTCTCTCTCTCTCCCTTGCCTATTCCCTCACCCTCCTACCAGAACTCCTACGCCTACTCCTATTCCAATTTCCACTACCACTACTGCTAGTGCTACTGCTACTGCTAGTGCACTGTGAGTTTTCCGGACCGTTTCCGGACCGCACAAGCTTATTTTGTTCCCAAATTTGAAATCGAATGCGTTCACGCATGGATCCTTACTCTCATTACTAGATTTGCTACTACCCCCAGCACTACCACCACACCCGCTGCTACTGCACCACCACTACCACTAGTACACCTAGGAATTTCTGCTCTTGCTTTTAAATCCAATTGACACGAGTTCCGCTGAAGGGTCAGAAACGAGTCAGAAACCAATCAGAAACCAGTCAGAAACCCGTCAGAAACCCGTCAGAAACCGGTCAAACGCAACCATCTGTTTCCCCCTCCCTCCCTCTCTCTCTCTCTTTCTCTCTTTCCCTCCCTCTCCCTTTCTTCCCTTGCCCTGCTACTAGAACTCCTTCTCCTATTCCTACTCCTACTCCTACTCCTACTCTTACCCCTCCTACTACTACTACTACTACTACTACTACTACGACTAGTACTACTAGTACTACTAGTACTACTAGTACTACTGCTGCTGGTACTACTGTGAGTTTTCCGGACCGTTTCCGGACCGCGCGAGCTTATTTTTTTCCCAAATTTGAAATCGAATGCGTTCACGCATGGATCCTCATTATATAATACATAACTTATATTTTATGTATATGATCTGATCAACGAAGAACAAACCCTTCCGCGATTGCTCACTGTGGTACCGCGGTTGCTACGCGATTGGCTGAGCGATTGAGGGCTGTCCGGGAAAAGGTATTTTGGACAACCCCCATATATTATTATATGTATCTCTCTCTCTATATTTATATATATACATATGTTTTGGAATGTGACATATGGAATAAACTGTGTGATGACCGAATGAGATTGACTGACATGATGACATGCACAGAATCGCTTGGAGTAATGCGAACCGAGGGGTGTGGCAGAATGTGTTTAGAGCTGAGACCCATGAAAATCACCAAGGTGGAGACCTCATCCTTTCGTTAATTCTTGTTCCTCTGCTCATGACACATCTTTACAGGCGGCTGGCAGGACTGCTTGGGGGGAGATGTTGGCAAGACTGGTCAGCTCATAGCCAGCTGTCCACACAGTTTGGCTGTACCAAAAAGTGTTCATCATCCATGGCGAAGTGGCTTGAAGATCATGTTTGTAAAAATTGTAAAACGGTATCTTAATTTTGGCTCCAGTCCCCTGTAAACGCGCGGACAGGGCGATCCATTCCCCCTGTGTAACAACGATTCTATCTTCATTTTGAGTCACGCTTGTCACGTTTGGGAGCGAGTGGGTTCGGGATGGGTTTGGGGTTGGCTTTGGAGGGGTTGGGGGGGGGGCAAAAACGTTCTTCTGCCTTGCGTTCCTGTTGGGCCTTCTAAACTTTGTCAAGCAACTGAACTTTGCCCAGTAATTTCCAAGACGCTCTTGATGCTACGTTGTAACATCCGTTTCAAGCAACTTCCAAGACGCTCTTGATGCTACGTTGTGTAACATCGTTTTCAAGCAACTTCCAATACGCTCTTGATGCTACGTTGCTACATTGTAACCTCCTTGTCAAGCACCTTCCAAGACGCTCTTGATGCTACATTGTAACCTCCTTGTCAAGTAGTTACATTGAACAGCAGGGGTGATGGGAAACAAACTTCAGAGCGCCATTGCAGCGCGCGTTTACAGAGGACTGGCGCGTTGTATTTTGGTCCTGGTGCTGCTCACCTTAATTCAGGAAGGTCGCCGAATCTGCCGAGGTGGTTTTACTGTAGATTAGAAAATGCTCAGAGTGGTCTTCATCTCTGCCTTTTCAAACTTGTTGGCAGCTTTTTCCTCCACCAGGAGGATTGATGCGAAAGTCAGGCTCGCATGGGTGCAGCGTGCGCTTTGCGGCTTTTTACAAAATGAATCAGCGGCCTGTTGGAACGCAGTGTTCTGGGGACGATTGTCCTCACCGTGTTTCGCTCAGTGCGCGGCAATTCCACACCGTGTGTTCATGCAGCCTGCTGCTGCCATTCCATACATAGAATCAAACGACCCAAAGTCCGCAACTATAGGACCCAAAGTGCTTTCAGTTATGTGAAACAGTTTCATCATTGATCACGACCGCAACGGACAAAAGGCCAATGGGAAGGATGAAGTAAAATAAGAGCAGAAGCAAAGGAAAAGACGCAAATAGCAAGAGGAAAAAAGAGCAGGGCGAAGAAAACAAAATTGAGCAGAGACAGACAAAATAGGGCACTTTGATGGGCAGAGGAAAAACGATAGCAAGAGCTAACTCAGGAAATTCAAATGCTCATACGCATTCCAACGTGTTTGCCTGTTGGTTTTGCCGCAAAAACTTCTGGGCTGTTGATATCTTTTGATATTCGCAAATTGACCAGATTGACCAACGCATCTCAAACTTGAAGCCTTCGCGGAAACTTCTTGTTTTGCTTCGTAGTCCGCCTGGCGGGTGTCAAAGGGTGTCGAATCACCCATGTACGGTTGCAACATGTGGTGACGACACCGCATTGCTTTCTACAGGGGTGTAATTTGGTCTTGTGCACAAGCATCCGACGACAGAGCAGAATTCTTTTACGACTGATTCATGAAGTCTTTTGCCCTTTTCCTGCACAGGCTTGAGATGGTTTCTTTCTCGGCGCCAAAGTATTAGAACATTGATTCTCGGAATTAGAAAGGCAGGAAAGAGACAGAAGATGACGGAAGACAGATCGAGTGAGAGAGTTCCGTGTGAGAAGGTTGTGTGTGAGAAGGTTTATACTATGCATTTGAAAAAGTACGTGTGAGTTTTTTGAAGATGGTGGAGGGTGTACGTATGAAGTGCGATAAGTGCCATGCCCGCCACACAACATGAAGGTCGATGTCGCCGAGTGCCACGCCTGCTTCCAAGTGCCACGCCTGCTTCCAAGTGCCACACCTGCCACACCTGCCACACC